AAAATTACCAGAGTTTTTTTTATGAAGGTTGCTATGTAGGTGCTAGACAGTTTATTAGTGCTTGATTTATTGAAATATTTAAGGTGACCACTGAGCTCTGCATCCCTAAGAGTTGTTTGTAAAAATCTTTTTTTTTTCCTCGGTTTGTTTTTTATTGTAGTCCTTTTCAATTCCTTTCCTTGCTCGCCCCTTTGTCCCTCGCGACCTGTCGCCCCAGCCCTTATCAAACCTTTTATCACTATCACCCCCCTGCCTTTTCCTCTGCAAGAAAGTGGGGGAGGGGGAACTATTTTTCATTCATCGTGAGAAGTGCGCGGTGTGGTCATTATTTTTTTTCCACCTCAATCAAGGTGACAGTCGCGGACCGCACAGAGGGGGATAGCGCGCTACTACGACGACTACTACTATACTATCCCGCAGCGGTTACGTCAACCCCGCGATCGGGGTGGGGGGCGGGCCTGGCGGGCCATTCAAACTTGAAAGGTGTCGCAACAGCGTTCACTCTCCTGTCCCCCCTCCTCCCCATCTCGATGCCAGGCCGAATTCGCCCCTGCCTCCCACGCGACGTCCTCGCGCGCCTCGCGCTAAAAGAAGTGCCAGGAATACACGGCAGGATGTCCCTGTCCGTTTTATGAGAAATCAATGTCGCGCTCTTTTCCGGCGTGGATTCGCGCCATAGGCGCTGATCCGGAGCTGGGTCGTCGTGCCGCCTAGCTCTGCGCTCGGCCAGCGCGGCCAGCCCGGACTCTGGAAGCTTCCAAAGGCCCTTTGGCGAAGGCACTTAGCTCCCCTCCGCAGCCATAGGCTCTCCGGACGGGTTGGCCGTACGGGTGTCGAATAGCAGCCCGAAACCGGTCTGTGCGGGTACGGCGGGGCGTACGGCGGGGCGTACGGCGGGGCGTACGGCGGGGCGTACTTGTGGCGTAGGACACACTGGAGTCGTTTCGGCGTTTCGCGGCGCGGATGCATGCGTCCTGCAGGCTGTGGCGGTAGAGTCTCCCGCCGTCGTTTTTCAGCATTGAGCCGCAGGGCGCCCGAGGAGACCCCCTGCAGGTCCTGGACTCGGTCCTGGACTCGGTCCTGGACTCGGTCCTGGACCAGGACAAGCCTCATCTGCATAATCCCGGCGGTGCCTGCGTAGCACGGGAGCTGAGACGAGCCGGGCGACCGGGCCGCGCCGAGCCAGGGTCGGTCGGGCCGCGCGGCCGAGCCGAGTCGAGCTGGTCCGAGTAGGGCCGACGCGAGTCGAGCTGTGCCCGGACGGGTAGGGCCGAGCGCAGCCGGGCCAGCGCGACGGAGTGCGGGGCACGGAGCCGAGCCAACCCGTCTCTCCGGAGCAGGTCCTGCAGACCCGTGCCGTGCCGCCGTGCCTTGCCAGCGCGGCGGCCGGCAGGCCGGGCAGGCCGTGCGGGCTAGGTTCCTGGCGGGGGTCCGCAACGAAACTCGACGTTTTGAGCGTCTGTATCTCGAAATCTGGATATCTCGATATCCCGTCAGCGACGGCAGCGGCTATGGTGCACCTGGATTGAAACGGCCATAAACCCCATGGCATCCACAGTTGAAACTTTCGAGTCTCCTAGCGCACTGCATCCAACGTTGGGTGCGTGTATAAGTACGTAAAAGAGATTCATCTGGTTCGGACCGTTCCGGAGAGTTTGATCTGGCCGGGTCGGAGCGTCCGTGCCCGGCTCTCGGCCATGGCGGCCCCGCAGGCCCTCTCGGGTCGTTGGGCCCTGCTGGCCCGATGCAAGACGCTCCGCTGCTCCGCTGCCCGTACCGTCACCGTCCCCCTTGCCGGCCGGCTCGCCTCGGACCTCCCAACCCCACGCCAGCCACGCCAGCCAGCAGCTCGTCGACTCAGCGAAAATTATGTGCAAGTTGACACTGACTGATGGCGAGGCGTCATCCCCCCGCGTCGAGCTGAGCGTGGCTGAGCGTGGCTGAGCCGAAGGCAAGGCAGGCGGTCGGTTCGGGCTTCGGGTCGAGCCGAGCGGGGCGGTACGGCCCAAGTCGCCGGGTACTGAACCGTCGCCAACGTCTTCCTCGGACTGCTCTATTGATATTCCGCGGCTTGGCAAGTACGCGCTGTCCTTGGTGGTTATGATGGGAATGAGAGCGGCACGGGTCTCGGGTCGTGGTTGCGGGTTTGGTCGGAGGCATCGGGTCCGGGTTCCTTCGGGTTCCTCCGCGTCGGGCAGGCCGAAGAGTGGAGCTGAGCCGGGGCGTGCGCGGTGCCGAGTCCCAGGCAGCAGGCCCAACAGGCCACGGGCAGGCTAGTGCTGTCGGGGCGTGCGCCGTGCCGAGTCCCAGGCAGCAGGCCCAACAGGCCACGGGCAGGCTAGTGCTGTCGGGGCGTGCGCGGTGCCGAGTCCCAGGCAGCAGGCCCTGCAGGCCCAACAGGCCACGGGCAGGCTAGTGCTGTCGGGGCGTGCGCGGTGCCGAGTCCCAGGCGGCAGGCCAAACAGGCCACGGGCAGGCTAGTGCTGTCGGGGCGTGCGCGGTGCCTAGTCCCAGGCCCAACAGGCCACGGGCAAGCTAGTGCTGTCGAGGCGCGCAGAGGGGGACATTTCGCCTGACCGAAGAGCACGGCAGCGCAGCGCGCGAGTGGAAAATTGGAGCTCTGCTCGGACTAAATGCCGGCAAGTTTGCCACAAGCGTCTCTGGAGCCTCGTCCTCGCTGCGCGCAGGCAGCAGGCCGCTCTCGGGGCTCGTACAGGTGTTTTGCGCGATCCCCTACAGCACTAGCCGCGGCGGGCTGGCTGGCCTGGCCGTTGCAATCAGCACCAACTACACCGACCCCCGTTGCTTCCTGATTCTGAGCCCTGACGGCAGTGCCGCCCTGACGGTGCGCCGTCGCCACCCTCCAACCCCACGAGGACGAGGGTGGCTTTCCTTTGTTCGGCGGGTCGCTAGGCCCTGCGCCGCCTGCGCCGCCGCCTGCCCCGGTGTTGTGACAGTCAAAAGATCATCCGAACCTGCACCGAATTTTTCATGTCGCACAGCGAGTCATCACACAGCAGCGTAGCGGAGCGCCCTTCGCTCGGCCCCTTTTGTTGCGCCCTGCTCCTCTCTCTCTCTCTCTCTCTCTCTCTCTCTCTCTCTCTCTCTCTCTCTCTCTCTCTCTCTCTCTCTCTCTCTCTCGCCCCGTAAGGGTGCGAGAGGGACAGGGACCTGCCGCTGCCCTGCTTTGTCTCGGCCCGTCATTTCCATGCAAGTTTGTTTCTTCCCTTCGCTCGAGGGCGCAGCAGGGTGAATCCGAACAGCGTGTTCTCGCTCCACCTCTCTCGCACCCCCAAGGGGCGCCCCGTGAGGGCGAGAGAGACGGCACCGCCTGCCTTTCATTCCGACAACGTTGTAAAGCGCTTCTTTCCTTCTTTCATATTCCGTCGCCCGCGTCGTACCCGGCGAAAATAATTGCAATTTCGAGACGTCAGGCTTCTTTTTGTCGTGCTGTAAATTACTTTTGTGTGCGTTTGCGGGACTCGCGTGCTGGGTCAGGCCTTCTGTTTCGTTCGTTAGCACCCCGTGCAGGGCGCAGGGCGCGCGCGTCGAACACGGCAGATTTCGGTGTAGGCGCTTCCTGTGGGCGCTAGAAGTCGACAGAACGACACTGCCAAAAAGGCTGTGCCGAGTGGCGCTCATGACGCGGTGGCCAGCCTGGCGGTGCGGCCATTGATGGCTTGTCCAGCCCATTGACGGTGTGCCGGCCTGCTTCGCCTGCTTCAATGGCCGAAATGGGCACGCTAATCCTCCTCTAGGACGTGCCGTTCCGACGGTTCCGCCAAGCCAGGGCCAAGCCTTCGAAGCCCAGCTGAATGGCCCGAGATTGGGAAAAGGCACGGCCGTCGTACTTTTGCTGTGCACGAGCCGAGCCGAGCGCGGCCGAGTCGAGCCGAAACCTTGGGCCGCGGGCCGAGCCGAGCCGTCGGGGGGCCGCAGGCTGGCAGGCCCGGCAGGGATGAAGGAGGCAGGCAGGCCGGCAGCACAGCCAGCACCAGGCAGCACGGCCGCGGCCCGGCCGGCAGCGCGGCGTTGCCAGACCGCCACCGCGCCGAGCCGAGCGATAGAGTGCCGAACCCAGCCGAGCCTTGCCGAACGAGGAACGAGCCCGGGCAGCAGTCGGCCCGCCGAGGCCGGCAGCCTGGCGGCCAGGCGAGCTGGCAGACAGGCCAAGGGAAGGGGCCCAAGTCTGGCCGGCCGGCTCGGCTCCGGCTCGCTCCGCTCGCTCAGTCACTGGTGTGCGCTTGGTCGCGAAGGGTCGGTCGTCGGGGAGTTGGGCCATGTGCAGGAGGAGGCTCGGGCTCCGGCAAGGGCTCGCCCAGGGATGTACATCCCGACCAGTGCAACTAGCAGCCCCTGTGCGCCCTGCGCCTTGGGGAAGCTCAAGCAGTACCACCAGCTCATGAACGAGCTGCTGACCGGGGCAGTGGCGGCGCCCATGGCTATGCTCAAGCCCCAGCCCAACATCCCCCCGCCGCACGCGGCGCACGCGGCCCTCGGGGCCCCAGTCCTCGGGGTGCAGCAGACACAAAACAAGGATAACCCCAACTTCGACGTGTGTTCCTCCAAGTGCTACGACTCCAAGATGCCCCCCACCCTGGCGCCGCCGTTGCTGGTCGACGCGGACAACTACATGCTGCGCGACGCGCGGCCGCGGTCGCTCAGCCACGGCGCCCTGCAGCGGCCCCCCCGGCCCCCCTCGGGACCCCAGGGCCCCCACGGCCCCCACGGCCCCCTGGATTTGGATATGTTCTGTGTGCGCGAAACGGTCAACTCGCTGGCGGCCGCCGTTCAGAAACTGAATTTGCCCTCGCGGGGCACCTCGCCCGTGTCCACCTCGAGTGAAAATACCTCCGTGACGTCCAAGTCGAACTGTAGTTCTAGCAATAGTGAAGAAACCAGTGTGCCGCCCAGCTGCGCGCGGACGCGCTCCTTGCACGGGATGCTGTGCACATGTCGACTAACGTGCTGTTGCCTCTGTGTGTCCCTCTCCTCTCCAGACTGCCACGCGTGCCTCCACAATGTGTGTGCCCGGTTGTCGGCGGGTTTGCCCTGCCAGCGCAACCCCGACGCCGTGCCGCCCATCACCCTCATCAGAAACAAGGTAAGCACTGCAGCACGTAGACTAGTCCAACGTAGTCGCTAAGAGGCCATTCACGCGAATGGAGCAAGGCCCATTGCACCGGGCCGGCCTCGGCCAGCCTCTCCTCGGGGCGAGCGGCGAGGCTTGCCGGCGTCTGCTGGCTGCCCTCTAACTTCCTCGAGGACGTTCAGGGAGGACCTCGCGCTGTCCCGAAGGGGCCGTCGGGCCGGCCGTCGTCCTCCAAGCGAGTCCTCGGCTGCGATTGCCGAGCGTCGCGCTGCTGATGGAGAAGGACGCGTGGTGAATTTCCACATGGCACACAGTGAGCCTGCCAAACACGGCCAAGAATGTGACAATATTTGACCGGTGTGCAAACGCTCGTGAGCTAACACCGGGGGCCGAGCTAGCCGGCAGCGCACCGGCTAGCCGCAGTGGCAGTGCACCGCCGCCGTGCGTTGCGGCGCTCTGTCTCTCTCGCACCCTCAAGGAGAGCCCCACGAGGGCGACAGCGACGAAGCGACTGGTCCGAATCGCTTGGCCGTTCCCGCGTGCGGTGTCAAGGGACTTGAGACTTCTAGTCCTTCGCCATGCTTCAGGCAGCGAGGTCCTTGAAGGTCCGCCGGGCCGACGGTGCGCCGCACAGTGGGCGAGAAGACCGGTGCAGCCGGCCCAAACTCCAGACGCGTTTTGAGCCCCAGGGTCGCTGAATGGGACTCCAAACGAACGTGTGACCCCACCAATGGATTGCCCTCCGAACGAGGAATCCATTGGTGGGGATCACACGTTCGGTTCGAGTCCTGTTTAGCGACTCTGGAGCTCAAAACGCGTCTACAGTTTTGGCCGCAGCGCCGGTCTTCTGGCCCACTGTGCGGCGTGTCGACGCCCCCAGGACCCTCGGCGGCTTCTCCGAGGGCTGCGCGTCGTGACACTGTCGTGACGCGCCGAGGGGTTGACGTCGGCCGATACGCCGATACGTCCGGCGATAACGACCCCAGGTCACAGTAACGAAGCGCAGCGCCGCCGCCGTCACGTCGCGTTCCCAATTCACTTTATTCCGTCGGCGCCGCGCACGCCGGCTTTCCGGGGACGCCCGCCGGCTTCCTGGAATTTCGACTCGATGGTCGCGACGTGCTCGACCTGCCCCAACGGCGCGGTGCGCTGCGACGCCGAGGAGTGTCATTGCGGAAAGGAAAGAAGGCACCTCGGTGGCACGGCGAGGCGATTTCGGTCATTCTTTCGGTGGGCCCTAGAGAGCGGTCGGGCGGGCGACCACGGCGCCGTCGTCTTGGCCCCGCCGGCCTCGCCACCCACCGAGGAGGAAGCGGCGGGGCAGCCCACCGCCGCGGTGGTGGCCCGGTGGGCCCGCCGTCGGCCGCCGTCGCCGTGGAGGCTCGACTCGCTCGGGTTCCGACCAATTGGGCCCAACTCATCCCGAACGGGAAAGGTGCCTTATGAATTGGCCCACGCACTGTCGTGACGCTGGGCCCGTCCCTTTACGAGGCCCCCGCACACACACAGACACACACAGAGGCACATACACACACACACACACACACACACCGCCGGAACGACCGGCCGGAATGGGGCAGAAAGGCGGGGGGCCCTTCCGTGATTGGGGCCCGCGCACAAATTATGCTGATTGCTGGGCTGAAGGTTCGGCAGAATGTGGCGGGGCTGCGGGGCGGCTGCGGGGCGGCTGCGGGGCGATGGCGACGGGGAGATGGGGGCCTTGGGGGCGGCCGCGCCATCTTTCTTACGTCCCCGGGCCGGCGCCGGCGCCACCGCGGCGACGGCACGGCGACGCCACTGAGCCAGGGACGATCCAGACGCCGGCCCCGCGCAGTTTTGATCCCCCCGCCGAGCTCGCCGAGCTCTCGGACTTAGCGGCAACTTTTCTATTACGGCGCGGCGCCCTGGCCGCCCTGCCCCGTCCTGTCCGGCGCACCGACCGCCCGGAAGGCGTCCCCGGGGAACTTGGAGCGGGCTGCGACGGCGCCGCCAGGACCGAGACCCGCCCCGAGTTTGCCCCGGCACGATGATGGCTTAGCGGGGGAGCGCCGTGGTGCGTAGGCAGCCCCGCGGATCAGCAGCGCGCTCGCGTGGCCTAGCCGCTCCGGGCCCACAGTGGGCCAGAAGACCGGTGGAGGCGGCCAAAACTCTAGACGCGTTTTGAGCTCCAGAGTCGCTGAACAGGACTCGAACCGAACGTGTGACCCCACCAATGGATTGCTCTCCGAACGTGGAGTCCATTGGTGGGGTCACACGATCGGTTCGAGTCCCATTTAGTGACTCTGGAGCTCAAAACGCGTCTAGAGGTTTGGCCGCCTCCACCGGTCTTCTGGCCCACTGTGCGCAGCCCCGAAGCCAGACCGGGGACATGTTGGCCATGAGCGTCGGAACGATTAGTTGGTGCCACCGACTTTTAGCCCCCCGGTTTTGACTGGTGGAAAATCAACCTGCGGTTCCCCTCAATTTCTTTTCTGACTCGGTGGGACACGACTCGTCCAGAGCCTCTGCACCTTGTTGGTTTCCCCTCGGAAGTTTCTTTCCCCCTTTCGCGGTTGCGCCGCGCTCGGCTTGCCAGGGTCCGGCAGCAGCCGGCCGCTTGCCCAGTTTGGGTTATCCAGGGCTTGCGCAGGGTTTGCAGGGCGTTTCTCCAGGGCTTGCGCAGGGTTTGCAGGGCGTTTCTCCAGGGCTTGCGCAGGGTTTGCAGGGCGGTTATCCAGGGCTTGCGCAGGGTTTGCAGGGCGTTTCTCCAGGGCTTGTCCAGCAGTGGCGAGACCGAGCCGACGGCAGCAAGGCAGCGCATCGCGGCAGCGCTCGCCTGCCTGGCCTGCCTGGCAACCGAGCGCGAGGGTCCCTAGGCGCGAGGGGTGGGGGCAGGGGGTGGGGGAGCAGCCCGGATGGAGCCCGGCTGGGCTGGAATCAGCTGGAGCCCAGCTGTCCGGACCCCCTCCCTCGTCGCTCGCACTGCTCGCACTGCTCGCGCACCGCCGCTGCCTGGAACTGGAGGCAGGCGGGGCACTGGAGGCTCGCGGCCCGGCTGGAGCGGGCTGGAGCGGGCCTGCGCGCGACGACACGAGATGGACAAGCAGCGCCTAATGATGCCCCGGGGCGGCCAGGGCAGCTCGACCCGCGTCGCCGTCGGCGTGCATCGATACCCACACCGCACCGCGCACCGCACTGATGCGGAGTGAGATTGAACCGCTTCCGTTCGGGGTCCGGCCGGCCGCGCCTGGCCTGGCCGGGCCAGCTGAGCGGAACCCCCATCCCTTCTCTCTCTCTCTCTCTCTCTCTCTCTCTCTCTCTCTCTCTCTCTCTCTCTCTCTCTCTCTCTCTCTCTCTCTCTCTCTCTCTCTCTCTCTCTCTCTCTCTCTATGCAAATTGCCTAACCTAACCGTTCGCATGCGGCGCGGGTTCGCGCCCCGCCGTCCGCGCAGCACTTTCTCCGGAGTGGCGACGGTGACGCAACTTTTTGGTGCGGGCCGCGCCGCCCCCGCCTCCCCAGGGCCGAGGACCCGGAGGTGGTGGCGGGTTGAACGAACTGCGGGCCAGGGCCAGAGGCAGGGCCAGAAATGCGCGGCGCTGGTATTCGAACCCACGCCCGGTACTCCGGCCGGCACTCGGCCCGGAGCTGGTCGCCAGGCTCCCTTTTTGCCGGTTCCGGACGGCCCGGACACGAGCGCGGCGCTGTGCCCCGGCCGTGCCCCCGCCGTGCCTTGCCGTGGAGTGCGGAGCGTGGAGCGTGGCGGTGATCAGATAGGGTGACCCCGCGCGCACCAGGACCGCGACGAGTACGACCCATTAAAACGCAAATAAAGCTTGTTAGGCGGGTTTGAATAATAATTCGTATTTATCTCAGCCCTTTGTGCGTGGCCCTTTGGTTATTCATGGCAGGCCCTGCGCCCCCCGCCCTCGGCAGCCCCGGTGGCCCCAGCGGCCCCGTCGCGGGTCCAGCGGATCAAGTCATCACGGAGACTGACTGCTGCAACCACGCGCCGCCCGCGCGCCGCTCCCTGGCCCGACGGCGGGCCTCGCACGTTCTGGCGCGGACTGTACGTCGTGGTCTCGGTGCACTCCGTCGTGGTGCATGACCTCATGCATAGCAAGTGTGAAATCCCTGGCGCGACTGTACAGGCTGTACAGACTGTCAGCTCAGGCTGTACACCGTGCTGAATAAACTGGAGTGATGTGAACCGGGGGCCGGCCCTGGGCCCTGGGCCACCACCACCGCCGCGCTGCCGCCGCGCCAGTATTGTGCCTCGGAACGCCCGGTACGCCCGGTACGCCCCCGTAATGACAGGCTACATTGTCTGTCCTTTCTTTTTCCGCCGCGCTGTGCCGCCGTGCTGTGCCGCCGCGCTGTCTCTCTCACGCACCGCGATCCCAATCTCGAGAGCGAAAGGGATGCAGAACGCTTCCACGCTCTTATTATGCAAATGGCGCCACTGTTACGCCTGGCGTACGGCACCCCGAAGCGCACTCGCGGGCGCACTCGCGGGCGCACTCGCGGGCGCACTCGCGGGCGCACTCGCGGGCGCACTCGCCGCTCGCGGGCGCACTCGCGGGCGCACTGCCGCGGGGCGCACTCGCGGGCGCACTCGCGGGCGCACTCGGGGCCCGCCACTCGCGGGCACTCGCGGGCGCACTCGCCCTCCGGGCGCACTCGCGGGCGCACTCGCGGGCGCACTCGCGGGCCACTCGCGGCGCACTCGCGGCTGCAGCACTCGCGGCGCACTCGCGGGCGCACTCGCGGGCGCACTCGCGGGCGCACTCGCGGGCGCACTCGCGGGCGCACTCGCAGGCGCACTCGCAGGCGCACTCGCGGGCGCACTCGCGGGCGCACTCGCGGGCGCACTCGCGGGCGCACTCGCGGGCGCACTCGCGGGCGCACTCGCGGGCGCACTCGCAGGCGCACTCGCAGGCGCACTCGCGGGCGCACTCGCAGGCGCACTCGCGGGCGCAATCGCGGGCGCACTCGCGGGCGCACTCGCGGGCGCACTCGCGGCGCACTCGCGGCG